CACTCTGAATTTGCAGGCACATGCATGGCCGCCTCGGCTGCACTGCAGAGGTATAGGCACTGGCCGACAACACAGGCGCCTGACCGAGCTGCTCGATCAGTGTAAGTGATCGACCAGTCGCACGCAGTGGCACGTGTTCTTGCCTCTTTCTCGTCTCTGCTCCTGCATGCCCCGTTTTCAGGGACGTGAATACTTGAGAGGACATGAGCCAGCTATATCTATATGTTGTTGCCATTGGGACTTTTTTTTTTTTTTGTGAACATTGTTGCCATTGGGACTGCATGCAGTGCAGCTTGCATGTATCCTTTCCGGCACGTGCTGATGAGGTCTCTGATTTGAGGGAAGAGCACCGGACACCCGGATGGATTTCGGCATTCAAGAGACGTGGATCGATGGACGGGAACGTACGATTCGTCGTCTGAGTGTCTGGACGATCATTCCACCAGCTCATAGCAAATCATGGTCTATTTGGTATCAGACTATCAGCACTATATCAAACTATCAGTACTATATAGTTATATACATTCTTTTTTTTTTCCACACGGTACAATTAACGGCCTTGCCCCGAAGGGGAAATTATTCATAAGCAGTTGGAACTGCAATGCGTCTCTTGGGCTTAGGCCATTCTCAATACAAGTTTCATAAAATTTTTAATATCATTAAATAACATATACAAAACTAGTTAGAGCATCTCCAGTATTGAACAAAATCGAACAGGGAAAAGCAAAACCGAACCGAGAACATTGTACGTTGACTCGTCGTTGTCAGAACGAAAATTGGACTCCAAACTCAGTTTGACGCGAGCACATAAAGCACGGACTGCCAGTCTTGTACGAAGGAAGGGAAAGCTAACAAAGAGAGAGAATATATTTCTTTAATCATTATGAAGCTGCATGTGGTGTGGAGCTCTTCGGAGTGTATCTTTGGTGGTGACACAGGTTAGGAAGTAGTGCTTGCAGTCGCTTCGGTTAGTAGGCGGATTTGGTAGCTGAATCATGTTGTGTTTGTTGGTGTTCTGTTAAGTGTTGTAATCCATCTCTCTCCTACTTGTCATGTACTTCTCGGAACTTTGTATTGGGATTGGCACCACGCCCTTCCACCCCCGGCTTGACCGGTATATGTAGAATGAAAATTTAGGTGGGGAGAACTTATCCCCAGTGTTGACCTCAAAAAAAGTGCAAACTGAATCCGCCTGTCACGATTCGAATGCTACACTAGAGCTGCCCTTGCATGGCGTGAAATTTATAAGTAAAGTGTTGGGTTTTATGAGGATGAAACCTGATGGACAGAGTTACCAAGGCTATGAAAATTGGAGTCTGGAATGAAGCTCCACTAAAAATATTTCGTTTCATCTTCAAGCGTTTTAGACTTCATGAAATAATTAAATGCTTTTGGCCAGCCTATAAAAAGTGTGAAATGAAAGTTGTGCATTGAGAGAAGTTGTTTCATTTATCAATTTAGATACCTAATAACCTAAAGATGACGTGACACTCTTAAAAACTGCATAACGTAACACTTCAATGGAATAACGTAATGTTACCTAGAGAGTAGAAGGTGATGGGACTAGAAGAAATTGGACTGGTGGAACTGCAAAGAGCCGCCATCGTCTCTAGGTTTTGGGCTTAGTTGGGGCCAAAATTCACAAAGGACATGGGCGACATGCTTTGCATATAAAACGAAGGCCAACAGGTAGTGGGCACTGCAAGAGGACGGGCCATAATGGCACGGACGGCCATTATATATTTTCTTAATTAAATTTCGAAAATCCTACTGGAAAAATATCACAAAGAGCCCGCACTTTCAAATTTCAGTTTCACAAAAACTATACTTTTAGTGACATCCTTTATTGCTAAAAGGACACTGTGGTGAATCATCTTCGCACTTACACTGTCATAAATATCACAAAACTACACATTTTTTACATGAAAAGAGAAAAAATGTGTAGTTTTGCAAAACTGATTTTAATAGGTCAGTTTTTATGATGGTTCATACAACCGAAAAAAGGTTACTAGATCATTTTAAATTTTTAAATAACGTATAGTTTTATTTGGTGCATGCTTTGGCCATTGAGTTTTAACAAACATAAGCTGCATTCTTCAGCTGTCCCCTGGACATGATCATACAAGCTAGATCAGCTTTTGGCAGTAGTATATTCAGAGAACTGGTTATCACTGCATGCTGGGTGATTTGGACCACCAGAAACGGTGTTATCTTTGATAATAAAAGCTTCAACTTCATGTGGAAAGTCAGCTTCAAGGCTGAGCTTGATTTGGTTTGTATCAAATCAAAGCAGAAAACTTGTGATGCCATTCTTAGGTGGTGTGAGAATTTCCTTTAAAGTTTTGTTGTCTTTTTCTTTTGGGCTGTAAGAGCCTTGTAATGTGTACAGACGGTATATAATTGTTTGTCATATATATAAAAAGAAAAAAATAAAGGTAGGAGGCTCCCCTGCCGTTTTGTCAAAAAAAAAAACATAAGCTGCATATAGTTATAAACATGCACACGCAAAAAAAAAAGGTTTGAAGTATTTCCATGACAAGCTAACTACCCACAGGCACTTTGAATACAAATCTGTTTATGCCATTTTTTGTCCTTCAATTGTATATAATTTTAATTGTGTTCAAAGTTGATTTTTTTCTTGTACAAAATACGCTTATCATTTTGACATGGAGATCATTACTTAACAACGTATTTCATACTTTACTATTAGTCAACTACCCCCAGTTTGACATATATCCAGATAGCCTTCTTCTAAACTAACTTTTTGATTCGAATTAGTCCTCTCAACTATTTTAGTTAGTCTAATTTGCCCCTAAAAAGGAGATTTTTTTATTGTTTTCGCATGCTCAAGTTGTCTTTTTAGTTTGAGTGCGATGATAGCTGACATTGACAGGACATCTAATAATAAGTGAATGCTAGAAATACAAAATTGTATGAAACAAAATGAAGAAAATTCGTAATGCATTTTAAATGATTTATGATGTCCATTATAGCCTTACAAAATCTGCAATTATGACTCGCCTTGTATGTGGAGAAACAAAACAAAAAAACAAATGCTATTAAGAGCTAAATCATACCAATTGAAATAGTTGGAGGGAGGAAACCAAATCAAATGTTAGATTGCGGGATCATGTGGACATAGGCCAAACGGGAAAGTAATTTGGTTTTCGGTAATGCTTGGTTGAGGACATCCGTCCGTCCGGATGGACCCTGTCCCACCCACGCCGCACGCCGCGCGCCCCTCCCCACAAATCGCAATCCGCAGCCGTAGCCCGGCACCAGACGCTGTCTCCTGGCGTCAAGCGGCTCGTGCCCTTCCCAGTGCGTTCTCCTTCTCTGTCCATTCTCACGTCATAGACCTAGCTGGTGCCACGTGCGGCTAGTGCTTGGACCGGTGAACCCTGGGAGTTGAGTGCTAGGTGCGGCGGCCGACGGGGCCTAGCGAAGCGTGGCGCCGTGAGCGGGATCCAGTCATCCGAGGCCACTGCCGAGGTCGGTGCCACCGATGAGCTCCGCACTGGCAACCTTCGTGCCACTCCGTGGCATCGAGCTCCGTGCCGATGTCGAGCTCCATATGTTTCATGCATTTCAGATGCATGTTTTAAATGTTGTAAAGGTATGTTGCATGTGTTTCATATTGATGTTGCAAAGTAGATCGGGATGTTGCAATGGTTGTGCACGTATGTTGCAAGCTTCTGTTCCCAATGTTTAATCTGTTTTTCCAAACGTATGTTGCAGGTGTGTTTATTTGGATGTTGCATATGTTTCACACATATGTTGCAAGTGTTTTATCTAGATGTTGCGTATGTTTTTACAATGGTTTAAAGTGTTTTTAGATATTTTTTGCAAGTGTTTCAGATGCATGTTTCAAATGTTTTATTTGTCTTCATACGTATATTGTAAGTGTTTCATCTGAATGTTTTAAAAGTAGATTGTGTGTTGCATCTTCTTCCTCGCCTTCTGTTGCCTCGCTTTGGTGTCTCCTTCTCCTCCCGGCGTTGACTGGGCATCCGCCGCCCCCTCCCTCTCTTCTCGATGCTCGTAACGTTCGGGGCGGTGCGGGCCCGTGTGGGCGCGCGAAATGGCACGGGAAAATGGACTGTAGGCGTGGGCATTCGGAAGTCCGGGCAGTATGGTTTTTCTTCTAATGGATAAAAACGACACAAATCTCTAGCAGCTTCTAAAAAACAGAGGACATGATTTTTTGTGTGCATTCACAGATCAACAATTTTTTTTATATTTATGATGTCCATTGTAGCCTTACAAGCATGCACATGTTTAAGGCCTTGTTTAGTTACTCCTTCAAAAGTTTACACCATATTCCATCGAATTTTGGACACATGCATGGAGTATTAAATATAGACTAAAAAAATAACTAATTGCACAGTTTGCGACTAATTTGCGAGACGAATCTTTTAAGCCTAATTAGTCTATGACTTGATAATGTGGTGCTACAGTACACACATGTACTAATGACGGATTAATTAAGCTTAATAAATTCGTCTCGTGATTTACCGACGGATTCTGTAATTTGTTTTTTTATTAGTAACACCCCATGCAACGTCCCCGTACGACACCCGACATGACACCATAAAATTTTACACTCTGGATTTAAACAGGGCCTAAAATAATGGCAAACAGAAAAGATGCAGAAAACATGTAGGCGTGCAGGGGAGTGCAACTTGTCAAAAGAAAACCGGTCGCTCTCGCGCAAAATTCTGTCACACTCATAAACCGTCTGAGTTGTCACGGCTCGCCGCGCACCGTCTGCGTCTGCCATCTTCAGTCGTAGGCTGTGCTGAAGATCTTGACGTCGTTGTCAGAGAGGACCTGGAGGACGCCGGAGTTGGACCGGGCGACGCACCTCGGCAACTTGAACTGGTTCGCCGGAGCTCCGAGGGCGAGCTAGTGGTGCAGCACCTTCTGGAACGTGCCCCGCCGCAGCACCCGCAGCTCCACTGGCCGATGGCGCGCGTATTTCTCGACCTCACGTACCCGGCTTAGACGAAGCGCCGGTCCAGCTCGTCGCAGCAGCGCTGCAGCACGTCGTTGTCGGCCTCGCCGCTGAGCTCCCAGAAGACGACGTAGTGGCCCGGGTACGACGACACGTCCGCGTGGCTGCTGTAGTCCACCACCTCCAACGACGTGTTCTGGGCAGCCAGGATCTCGGCCGCGCCATCGACGGCGAGCTGCACACGTCCTGCTCGGTGTTCTTGTCGACGTTGATGCACAGCGTGGGGCCGATCGCCCCCCGGCTCACGAACTTGAGCTTGGGCCTCGAGTTGTAGAAGCCGGTCACCTTCACCACGTCACCCAGACGGTACCGGTACAACCCTGCGTGCAGTTACCTGCATATGCTGCATTGCATGGTATGCAAGGAACATGCATGAACTGACGAACGTACCTGTGCGAAGGTGGTCATGACAACCTCGTAGTACTCGCCGACGGTGACCTCCGTCAGGCCGACGGGATCCGCCTCGGTGTTGTAGCTCGTGCCGGCATCAGTGCAGGCCGCTCCGCCGCCGTCGTTGGTCTTGAGAGGGATGAACTCGAAGTAGGCGATGTCTGGGACCACGGCGAACGTTGCCGAGTCCGGTGGCACCTCCGGCTCCACGTTGGCACCGACCATCCCCACCGACGCGCCGTAATCCATGGCGACTAGTTGCAGGCCACCGATGTAGTGCTGGATCTTCCTGACGTAATGCTCCATAGACCCGTCACGATCGTGTGCACGTACCTAGCGTTGGGCCACAGCGCCGGGACCACCCCACGCCAGTCTCTGAGCTTGGCCTCGGCGCACCTGCGCGCTACCTCGTCGGCCAGCGCGGGGTTCGGCGGCGCGAGGAGCTCGGACACGGCCCGGCGGAGCGCCGGCTCGGTGACTCGCGCCGGGGACAGGGCGCCGTGGTGGATGTCGTGGCACAGCTCCTCCCACGCCCGCTCCAGCGTCTGGAACGCGAGCACGAGGTTGTGGCCGAACATGGCGAACACGGTCCGGACCTCGCCGGCGAAGAGCAGACCGCAGAGCAGGTGGCAGTAGAGCGACTGCGCGATGTCCGCGGCGGCGAAGACCACCTCGTCGGGGCTGCAGCACGGCAGCTGGATGTCGCGCACCGCGGCCTTGTACTCCTCGTTGCGGTACAGGTGGGTGGTGGCCGTGGCCGCCGTCAGCCCGCCCTTGGTGGTGAACTGCCTGCTGCCGTAGACGAACCGCAGCGCCTTGCCGCCGCCCTCGATGGGGAACACCCTGGCCGGACGATGTTGAGATCTGATGAAATGAAGTGCAGTAGCTAGCTAGCTAGTCACAGGCGACCACATGTCGTGCAGTGAACGAACTACTGCTCTACTGGATTAGATCAGAGCCAAAAGAAGAAAGAGAGATCGTGCATGATGGACCGGAAAGGATGCCGCTGGTCGGTCGTTGGAGCGTCAATCAGAAAGACGACGATGGGCCGGCCGTGCGCCGGCGTACGTGCCGCGTGCGTGAGTCATGCTTACGTGTCATACGTACCTGTTCCTGAAAGCGAAGGAGGTCCGGTACACATGCATCGTCAGCTTGAATAGCTCGTCGTTGAAGGGCAGGTACTTGCGCTTCCCCTGAGTCGTGCCGGATCTACGATCGACATGGATTGGCAAGGCCAAGCTTAGCAGCAGCAACACACAGTACTGAAACCGATGACGAATTAACACGAACCTGGGGGAGATGGAGGTGATGGGCTTGGCGGTGAGGACGGGGGAGGTGCCGCCGTCGGCGACGCGCGCGATGTAGGGCTCGAGGTCGTCGTGCGTGGCGAGCGGCACGCAGGCCCGGAAGGTGTCCGGGTCGGTGCGGCCGGCGAGGCCATGCCGCTGGAGGTACTCAACGGCGGCGTTCTCGTCGAGGATCCGCCGCAGCGTCTCCCGCTGAACGGTGGCGGCGTTCCGCGTCAGCCGGTAGAACTCGGCGATCACCTCCTCCTCGTTGCTGAACTCTCTGGCCTTCTTCCCCGACATGTTGCCGCTTCAAAGTTCAAAGAGACGTTGTTTTAGCGTACACCACTTCTTTTGGGTAGAAAAGCTGGAGCCCCTGACCTGGATTTATAGAAGGACGACGGAGCAGAAGTTCATCATCAAGATCCGGCAGGTTCCAGTACATTTGACATGTCCAACCCTAGCGAGCGACTAGCGTAGCGTTGTTTGCGCAGACCACATGGAAGATAAAACAAGAGGACTAGACCAACTCAAGTCACAAACCTGCTCATGCCGGCAGTTGAAGTCTTGAGCTCCATCCTTAGGTCAAGAAAAGAAATGACCAAGTCTTGTGCTCCGTTCTTGCGTCAGATATTCCTTCTATATCATCCGATGATATTGAGAAATGTTACACACCATTAGAAAAATTTGTTGTGGACAAATATGTTATAATAGAAGACCTTTTCTATTATCAACAAATTACGTGTGTGGGCTTCGCGTGGCCTAGCATTCAGAGATTATACTGGTTTAGATCGTTGCTCGATGTTTACAATAAGGGTTACAAAACCAAGGAAAACGAGTCTGTATAATCGAGAGATGGTTTTAGGAAGACTGGTATCTCTAGTCTTTGGAGGAAAAAGAGTCCTTTGCTGCCCTTTAGATTGCTGAGAGCGCAGGGTTACACAGTGAAGGAAAAGTGTGAGAGTTTTCCATGCAGCGTTGGGCTTTACACTACAAGAAATGTGTTGGTTTATGAAGTTTATCGCATGACATTCGATAAAAAAGTCACTAAATCAATTGGTTTATGACTGTTTGCTTTGGAAGCATTTCAACTTAGTGATATAACTAAATAAACGTCACAAAAAAACGTCTTAAAGGTAGTCTAATTCCATATTTTGACAATTTTTGTCCTGTCAAAAACACCAATTGCAGTCGTCATAAATTTATGAAAAGAATAGTGTGTCAAAAAGTATTTTATATGACAAGGATGGTGTGTCATAACTTCTTTTATTATTTTTTAAATGTTATTGTCCAAGATGGTTTATGGGCCCAGCTGCCCTCTAGTCAATTGGATCCTATGTGCATATTTTTTCCATTTTTTCTGTGGTATTTAACCCACCAAAGTGACCCAACCTCGAGCGCGCAAGTGGCCCAGAAGCCCTCCCAACGTTGCTGTCCGCGCTCGTGCAGCCCAGCTTCCCAACGCGCGCAACCCCGCCTGAAGCCCAGCCTGCCAGCGGCTCAAGCCCACGCAGCCCAGCTTCCCAGCGGACGGCGCACGCAGGACTTGTAAAAAAATGCGCAAGCATGAGGGCTCGAACTAAAAGGAGGCTGATGGTCCAAGCAATGAGGGAGAATCTACCATCCACCACGTACAGCTGGTTTTATATTAGCATAAAGGTCAAAGTTATGTGGTTGGTGAACCTCAAGAACAACTAGTTGGCTGGGCCGAATGCAGAAGCAAGGGCTGCGATGTGTCATCAGTAATCAGTTGTGAGTCAGTTGGCAGGCTAGCATCAGGAGCAGGTTGGTCTTGACCAGCCGATGATTCCATATTTCAGGAGTCAACAACATTGGCGATCGTCCTAGCAAAATTCATCTTCTATCTTGCCAATGTCTCTTGACACATATAATTGGCTTCCTGAGGTAAGCTTGTGATTATAGAAATTCATGATTTTGGTATAGTCTTTGGATGCTTCATGAGATTCCATATTGGGTTTTACCAAAATTGTCAAGGGCTCAAGGCTTATACTCAGTGATCGCCCTTTGAATAATTATGCACATGGCTGATATTTTTGTATCGCCCTTAGAACAAATATATGAATGGCCGATACTTTAATATCGCCCATAGATAAAATATGAATATGGCCGATGGATGTGTTGATATCGTCCTTAGTCTTAAAAGCCAAAATGTTAATTTTTTGGCACGCAGGCTTTGCAAAAAAATATGGGTCATATGTTGACACTCGAATTTGTCCTAATAATTACAGTCAACTTCGATGCCGTGTATTTGTTCGCTCGGCTTGGTTGGCCGAGTGCATATTTCACTCGGCTCATTTAGATGCATACATTCATTCAGACACTTACGAGGTTTATCGATTGCGCACGGGAGATCAATCAATTGTATACAGGAAGTCCAGCTGCCATACTAACCTGAACGCAGATCACATGTCCACACGTGAAAGGAGGTAATAATGCAATTGGATTACATGGCTGCTTATTTGTTCTATATATGCACACGTGATTAAAGAAGAAATAGAAGTCCGAGAAGGATACCGGAAATATTTAGCTGGCATGCATGCATGCGTAATTGGATAGGAAAGAGCAGACTTTGTCGTAGGGAAATAATACGAGCAGGCAAAGGCATACGTGTGCATACGTGTCTTGCTAGAGTTCAGATTGATTGGTTAACCGAACAGAGATAGAGCTAAGTTAATTAGAATAGGTGGTCTCGTTCGGTTGTTATGCACCATGTAACCGAAAGACCAGCCACCCTATAAATATAAAGGGTGATGACCGATTGACAACACACAATTAAACCTATCAATATACATCTACTTTTTATTTTTATCATGTCTTCCAATCTATTATTTCTTCTCGTTTTTCGTTGTCGACGATGTTCATCGCTTCAATGATGGTGAAGCCCTAGAGCGGTCAGGCAGGCTAGGACAGCCCATAGCCGTCGCATGCCCTGACGGGGTCCCTCCCGGGTGTGTGGGGTTTCGGGTCTCAAGAGACCTCGCCGGCGTGTCTTGCGTATCACGCTCCCGGTGAGGTTCCTCCGACAACGTTGAAAGCTCTAGTTTGATTTTGGTGAATTGATGAAACCCTAAGTGCTAACACAGTTTATCAAAATGATTATGAGATAGCCGACACATTCCAAGTGATGAGACAAATGAAGATCATAACATGATGATGGTGATGATCAAGTGCTTGGACTTGAAAAGAAGAAAAAGAAAAATGAAAGGGCTCAAGGCAAAGGTATAAATGGTAGGAGTCATTTTATTTTGGTGATCAAGACACTTAGCGAGTGTGGTCATATTTAGGTTAGATAGCCGTACTATTAAGAGGGATGAAACTCGTATCGAAATGCGGTTATCAAAGTGCCACTAGATGGTCTAACTCATTGCGTATGCATTTAGGATCTAGTGGAGTGGTAACACCCTTGAAAAATGTTTGTAAAAATATGCTACCACATATGCACAAAGGTGATACACATTGTGTTTAGCACTTGGGAGCAAGGGTACGAAACTTTACCGACGGAGTGTCCACCCGTAGAGTGCGAACAGTCCAACGGTGCCACCGGCCCCTAGATAGAAAAGATAGGGCTTCACAAACTGCACCGGACGCTGGCATCTACTGGACCGGAGCGTCCGGTCTGTGGAAGCGTGAAGACGCTGGCGTCGGTCTTCGACCGGACGCTGGGTCACTTAGTGACCCGAACGGAGGGTGCGTCCGGTCCTGCTGACGTGGCGGCACACAGAGGAGACGTTGAGGGACCGGACGCTGGGTGTGTCCGGTCAAGCATGACCGGACGTGTCCGGTCGTGAATTTTCGTGAATGAAACCTTACTGGAAACGACCGGACACTGGGGTCCTGCGTCCGATCACTTTCAAGCAGCACGTCCGGTCATAACTTAAATGTACCAATAACTGTTGAGATCGGGCGATCAGCGTTTGAAGCAGGGGCCACGTGACGCACATCGCGCGATCGGTCGATCTGACTGGCGCATCCGGTCGCCCGTTTTTTAATGGACTGTGGAGCCAACGGTTCTATTCGTGAGGGCTCTCTATTTAAACCCCATGGTCAGCTCAAGCTCACTCTCTTGGCCATTTGTATTGACATAGCAACCTTGTGAGCTTAGCCAAAGCCCTTCCACCCATCTATGTCATTGATCCATCATCATTGTGAGATTGAGAGAGAATCCAAGTGCATTACTTGAGTGATTGCATCTAGAGGCACTTGGTACTCGTGTTTCGCTGCGGGATTCACTTGTTTCTTTTGGTGGTTGCCGCCACCTAAATGGCTTGGAGCAGCGAGGATCGTTGAGCGGAGGTTGGTGATTATCTCCGGCTCCGATCGTGGTGATAGTGAGGGGTCTTGTGCCTTTCCCGACGGAGCGCCGAAAGGTAACTCTAGTGGATTGCTCGTGTCATTGAGTTACCTCACTTGTGGGTAGGTTCTTGCGGTGTCCAATTCTGTGGACGAGGTTCGTGCAACACTTCTTAGCCGCCTAACCACCAAGTGTTGGTCGACACAATGGGGACTAGCGTGCCGGCAAGCACGTGAACCTCGAGAGAAAATTGGTTGTCTCTTGCCCTTTGGTATTCTTCCGGTGATTGATTTAATATTCATCTTGTGATTGGTTCACTCCTCTACACGGCGGTATAATCACCCTACTCATTCATTTATATTCTTGCAAACTAGTTGTAGCAAACTCTTTAGTGTAATTAGAATTGAGAGCTTGCCTTGTTGTTTTAAGTTCATCTAGTGGAGCTCTTTAGTGTAGCAAGTGTGAGAGCTATTAGTGAGTAGTAACATAACAAATTGTGTGTCTAGTGATCTTATCAACTAGAATTGTTGGATAAGTGACTTGCAACCCTTGTAGAGCTAAAGCAAGTTTGCTTTTCGCTATTTGTTATACTAATCAAATTGCTCTAGTCGGTTTGTAGAAATTTATATAGACTATTCACCCCCCTCTAGCCATATTAGGACCTCTCAAATGTGTCCTGCGTATCGCGCTCATCGCCGGGGGCACACGGTGACGTGTTCGTGTGCGAACACACTTTTTGGCGACTCCGCTGGGGATTGAAGTTTCGACGGTCTCCATGATCGTTGTTGCTGCTGCGAGGGGTTGTCATCAAGGATTTGCAATCTACAACGGTGGTATGAGTACCCAATTTAATTATGTAGATGCAAATAATTCATATGTTGATGTTGCTAGATTTTTTTGATAAGCATGGTGTCTCGGCTAGGCCTCAAGTTTTCAATTATGAATCTGATTATATGCAAAAGCTGATGCAAAATAATTTACATGCTTCAAGTAATTATGATGCTAGCGATAGGCAACATATGTCCCTGAACTCGCATGCATCGGCAACCCCGCAAATTCATATGCCGATGAACAACATGATGAGTTCAGTTAATTATTATCAAACATCTCAAGATGAAAATTTTAATAGCATGCAAAGGGATATTTCAGTTTATTATTCATCGGCAACTAATCCCCAATATGTGAGTTCATCTCAAAATATGCCGATGGATGGGAGAATTGGCCACGTGTCTAGAACTTATCCGGCTACTTATTTTCAATCACCATATGCTACAGCTCATGTTACTAATTTTTCAGCACCATATGCACATGTTGATGCTCACAATTCGGCTTCATATTTAACTTATGATCATAGCCGAATGCAAGAAATTTCAGCAAGCATGCATATGCCATCATCTACTAGTATATCATATGATTCACCCCATACTCTATTGCAAAGTTTCGGCAGCACTCATGTTTCATTGCCGAAAGAGTCAGAAAGTCTTGGGGGCAATCCTAGATAGAATGGGATGAAGTTGCACATGAAAAGCTTTTAGCCGGAATGAATAAGATTACTACTATTTTCTTTGAAGAAGCAAGGGGAACAAGATAGATTATGGCACAATACGGGCTAGAATGGAGCAAGAAGAAAAAGAATTGCCAGTAGATAAAATTGGCAAAGAGAAGAGTGATTTGGATGACAAGACTAGTTCGGCTATGGAAAGAGCCGAACCAAATAGCGCATATGCCGAATCTATTATTGAATTAAAAGAAACAAGCATGGTCGAGCAAAATCGCAGCAAGCGTAACAAGACAGCCGTGCTTGATTTTTCTGGGATTAAAGGAGCATATATTCTGCCATATGAATTATGTGCTAAAGAAGTTAATAATTGTCAAGATCAGCAGCCCATAGCTAAATCAAGTTCAGCTTATGAATAACAACAACATGTAGCCGAACCATGTTCAGATAAGGGGGAGCACCAAGATGATGATGCACGGGATCTTGGACAAGAGAAGGTGCTAGAGAGCTGTCAAAATGCAAAGCAATATATTATTCTAGTCACAAAGCCGCCATGCTTCTCCAACATATTTGAAAAGGTACATGTTACAAGTATTTTACCTATTTTACAATCTGGTCATAGATTTATTATTAATACTTCTTTTAGTAAAATTCATATAAGAAATCTTGAAAGACCGATTGAGAAGGGTGATTTACTTGCTAGCAATCAGATTATTACAAAGCATATTGGTCAACATATTATGTCATCTAGAGAGGCCAGTAATGATAATTTATTAAATTCAAAAGTTTCCGAATTCTCTTATTCAAACTTTATATCTACATGGGTAGCTTTTGTGCTTTTATGCTTGGTTTATACATGGTCTGAAATAAGACATAGGTGCTGTAATTATTTTGGTTTCAAAGACATAAAACCAAGGATAAAATATGTTATAGAAACCGATGCTAATATAATTTCATATCCAAGAACATAGGTTATAAGTTTTAAAAGACAATGCATAGCTGAATATGTGGATGTCAAATCTGAATCTTTCGTTTGTTCAGCTCTAAGGCCGTTCTCACAGCAGGATCGGCTAAATAGAAAAAAGTACACCTTTGATTTGAGCATGTGTGATCATATACTTGATGTTTTAGTAGAAAATAAATTTGTTAGAATTTCTGATCACCATGTCTTGCCATCCATACAAGAATGAATATATTGCAGGTTGCATAATTCGTTCAAACATAGCACCAAAGATTGCAACATATTTCGCCAAATAGTACAATCGTCCATTGATAAAGGACGATTAAAAGTTGCTAAATTGCAAGTAAAGGACCAATTGAATTCAGTTAGTCTTGATGGCAAAAAATCATTACATCGGCTACCCCAAGCCGATTCATTCAAAGGTGAGAAGGTAAGTATAGGAAAGGATGGACTGAAGCCTTCAAGCAATAAGACTAGAGACATTGCTGAAGTGCACGTTGAAGACATTCTTGAAGGTGGAAAATCTATCCAAGTTGTAAGCAAGACTTCAAGCACTTGGGGGCAGCAAGGAGATTCAAAGATTGATGCATACAAAATCAAAGAAGACAAAGGCCATGATAAGCACAAGGGAAAGAAATCAAAAGTTACTTTTGAGCAGCTACTAGCTAAATACTAGAAGGAGAGTGAAGCGAAGAGTGCTTATCGGCCAAGTGATGCAAAGAACTCAAGATCACCCCCAAGGCGCAAGTTTGAAACCCGGGATTGGCAAAGGGAGGAGTTTAGTACAGCAGCTCCGTATCATCCTTTTGGGCCGCCAATGCCGACGTCATGGATACCCCCATATGCTGATTTTTCTTCACATCCATCATGGGACTGGTATGATTCAAGGGCACAACTTCCATCGTATTTTAGACCATATTATGTAGAATATGCAGCTCCAAGAAAGCCAACATTTGAAGGACGATCACAAATCAAAAGCCATTTCAATCAAAAGAATCGGTTTGGAACTCAAGGGGAGAAGAAAACGGTGGTCAAACAAGCTTACCGTGTTAAAAAAGATGGTCGTAAGTGTGCTGGTTCAGATCTGATTGTAAATGATAAAAGGCCGATTGAAGTGTTGGAGACATCGGTTATTGATGGCAAAAAGGATAAGCAAGTTGATGATCAATTTGCCAAATCTGAACAAAAGAAGATGGAAGTGTCCAAGATCAAGAAAAAATCGCCACTACTAAAATCAAACTCACAGCCGAGATGCCCACTCGGTTTATCAAGTTGGAAAGAGAACAAATTACAAAGGCTTAGTGAACAGGAACTGAAAAAGAAGAAGATGGCATGGGTTCCTAAGAAGAGCATTCAAGATCAAGACAAGGGTGATGTGCAAGCATTTAATGAAAAATGTGTGATAAAGGTGGAGAAGAGGAGAAGACCTAACAAAAAATTCAGCCGAAGATTTACTTCCAGTCCTCAAGATCTTCGGTTAGCACATCATCCATATTTTTTAGCCATGCCACCAATGCCTGTCACATGGAATCCATCTCCAGGTATTTTTGGTTATCCCTCATGTGCTTACATTGATCCGCGGATGGAGTATGAGTTATTACATCATGGGGGGATGTTACCAAATTATTTTCATTTAATTAGTTGCAAAGTGCTGCTGCTAATTTAAAAGCCAAAATATTTATGATTCAAAGTCAAGTTAGTTTATTTATTTTGGCTATACAAAATTTTATCGGCCTTAGCGATATATATGACTAAAGAAGATATTCCATTCGGCTGATCCAATGTGTACTGGAGATCGGAGACAAGACTAATTAATGAAGAAATCTGTATAAAATGGTAGAAGCTCTTACACAAGTTGGGTCCTGGAGCTGGGGAAAGGAATTTCTATGAATTACCATGTTTAGGTGAGCCATGCATAGAAGCAGAAAAGGAAAAAGGAAAAAGGAACAGACAGGTCAAAGGAAAAAAATATGAAATACATGGCAGGATAAAAGACCATCACAGGGATAGGGAGACATTAGTAGAAGAGAATAAGAAACTACAAACCTTAAAAATGGTTGCTATTTTATCACCCCTTTTCTCAATAATACAATAATAGAGTCTTGTCTTGTTTGGGTCCCAATCAAGGTTCTGCAGTGTTGGCAAAAACTTTCCTGAGTTATCTGCTAGCATCCTCTTGAAGGGAATGAAAACCAACAACAAATATAAAAAGATGTACTGAATTTACACAGATGATGATTCGGAGTTACAAATATATTGAAGTTATCTGCTAGCAGGCATCAGCTGAATTTGCACAGGTGATGACTTAGTCATCAATGCTGATACTAAATGAGACTACAAAGATTTCTTGGAGATGCACAAACCACTTACAGCTTTTGAGTCAGGCCTACTCATATTGCAAAAACATTATTGATCATGCTTCTTCAAATAAACAAACACTTTACTGATTTCTTTTGTTATCCATGAAGATGCCCAAAAAGTGTGTAAACTTTCTAGAAGATATTAAAATAGCATTGTTTTCGAAATAATAGGAAGATGTAGTATGGCATGACCGTACCTAAGCTAGTTTGTTGTCTTTCAGTTAAACTAATTAAATACCAAATTTAAAGAACTATTTTAATTGAAAAATATTGGATGGTTATGCTAAAAACACACATGCAACAGCTTTTGTTGAAAACATGTCCTGCATGGCTGCATATATCTAACCAGTTCCAGATAATAAAGATCATGACACTTGAGAATATGTAAGAAACTAAAAAATGGATATTTATGTGTACAGTTGCAGCCAATGATTAACATCATAGAAAAAAATGAGTAAAGCAACAAAAGTTCAGGTGTGATATATGACCTTTCTTCTATCCGTTGCTGGTATATACTTCATTCCAAATTTGTTCCAGATTTCTGACTCGAAGTAATCCATGAGCAGTGAATTCAAATGCCTTGTATAACTTACATCCTCTAGTACTTGTTCTATCTTCTGGCTATAGGAATATAAGGAGGCAAGATGGATTAGAGCCTAACAAAGATAGCATAAGAATAGAACAAGGCATGGCAGCAATTAAGCTAAAGAAAAAATTAGTTTTCTGTTGGTCCATTATTCCATTAGATAAATGGATCAGCTGATCAAGACTTTGTAGTGAAGTTCAAAGCAGTAAGTTATTTGTTCCAATTATATAGGGGGAGAAAAACATAAAGCCAATCAAGACTTACTCTCCATGGTACACATATATGAGGAATATCCGAACAAACTCTTTTAACTCCCCCAGTGCTAACATCAGAGGGCTTGGTGTTTCCCTCAAAGCATGCCCAGCTGCAACAGAAGGTGGCATTGCAACCCCTAACCTTCCTGATGGGCCATCCATTTGTTGGATACGCCTTGTAATATTGCGAACAGGGCTTGGGGTGAGAACCCAGGCAGGACTATCGGCCATGTGATACCCGAGACAGCCAGCGCCCATTCCTCCAGGACTTGCTATCGGAGAAGCCACAGCTGCGAAAGGGGACTGATTCTGCAAGCCAGGAGAGCCCAAACCCGGTGGGCTCTCAACCTCCATTTCAACACGGTCTGGAACGACACAAGCATTTGTCATGATATGCCTCTCGTGATACTGCGACCTTAAAGGCATCTGACGCACAGGGCTCCCAGGCTCCATCCTTGCGTGGTTTGAACTAGCAAATGCCATTTCACCGTTGGGGCTCTGATTCTCAACTTCCATTTGGACGTCATCTTGGTAGAACGGTCCTGATATGGAATCCTCTGTCCAACAGATAACTTGATGATTAGGAAGAAGAAAAGCAATATGATGGGAAATATGCCGGTAAATTACAAGAACAAACATCGTCTTAGGTGTCTGACGATCAGATACTGAAAGGGTAGTTGAAAAAAAAAGGGGTAGCACTCAAAGGATGAAGAAAATGCAGTTATAGCAGTGACCGCACAGGAACATGATTCAGATTGCAGCCTATCTGGGCGTCAGAAAGGAAACTCGAGAATTACGAAAACAGAGAAACAGTACCAGATCCAGTTATAGACTTATAGTAGACATGTCCAAAACAAAGCGAAGTAAGCACCGAGTATTTCCAGTTTTTTTTAAAAAAATACACATAAAAGCACCAAAACAAGCGTTGCTGGCAAGGAGCTATTCGGTGAGAGACCATTATGGGAAGTGGGCTTCGACGGAATGCCATCCCGCAACGGAGCTTCGCCAGGATGTCATTATCAAGTGCGACACAACCGCTAGGATGCCATCCGAGGGAATTTGGAGCCTTTTATTTCTCTTCTACCCCTCCCTTCTCTCTTTTTCTTTCACGGTCGTGATTGGGACGGACGGAACAGGAGCCACGAACGGATCGAGCTCTCGGGCTCTTCTCCTCCGTCGCCGAGGTACCCCACGGCCGCCCGCTCGATCCGCCTTCCCACGCCCGGCCAATCCCCCGCAACCGCGTGCTCCCCCACGCCCGCCCGCTCCGCGAGCTCCCCCATGCCCGCCCGGCCAAGCTTCTCCAAACTGCAGTGACCTTCCCCATGGAATGCAGATGGAGTAACCTCGTTCTGTAAGATTCCTCTTTCCTCTTGTATTTCTCTAATTCGGTTTGGGAAGCCGATACAGTCACCTCGCCCAATAGGTTTCTAACACGGTATAATTTTTACAATTTGTGCAGGCTCGATCCGGAGCCTGACGATAGTGTACTGTTAGAATGTATTAGTAACAGCCCGGCCCATCGGCCTTGTACACATTGTAACCCTAACCTATTAGGCTATATAATGAAGGTCACCCCCCTTATTAGGGTGTGCGGTGTTTCTCTACATGGTATCAAGCCAATCTCCGATCCTCCTTCCCTTCTTCCGCTCGCGGCGCCGCCGCTCTCTGCCCGGCGCGCCTCTCCCCTGCCCGTACGTCCTCCGCCCGAGGGCGTGCGCCACCGCACCACCAGGCCGCGCGAGTTCAGCCGCGCCGCCGCCCTGCCCGCGTCATCGTCTTGATCGCCCGCTAGGTCGCGTGAGCCCCTGCTCCGTGTACCCGCGCCGCAGGCCACGCTCGAAGTCGCGCCGCCCAGGGCCCAGGCCGCCGCACGACTTCTGTCGTGCCGCCGCCCACGAGCCGCGCCCCTGCTTCGATCTAATCAGGCTGCACCGCTCCGTCTTGGCCGAGCTGCCATGACGAGTTCCTCGGGTGACTCTGCCACCTCCGGCGTTCTGGGCTCCCAGGCCTCCGGGAACGCCTTCGCCGCTTCCTTCTACGCCGCCTACGCCTCCGTCAACGTGAAGCAGCATGTGCCGATCGCCCTCAGCCTCGAGCGCCCCAACTACTCCAAGTGGAAGGCGTTCTTCACCGCCCTCTGCGCCAAGTACGGGCTGCTCGGCCACATCGATGGCACGGAGGCCGCGCGCCCGGCTGACCCCCTGTGGTCTCAACCCGACGCCTGCATCCGCGACTGGATGTACGGCTCTGTCGACGACGCCGTCCTCGACCTTGCCATGGAGCCCGATCGGGATGCACGCGCCCTCAGACGTCTCCATCGAGGCCCCTGTTCGAGGCGAACAAGAGAGTCCGCGCCGTCGTCCTTGAGCAGAGTTCCACAACTGTCCAGGCGACCTCTCCATCGACGCTTAACGCCTTGATAGATGAAGCGCATCACCGATGCCCTCCGGGAGGTCGGTCACACCATCATGCGGCCTCAACTCCCGCTTTCACCAACACCGCCGACATCATCTCCAACACGTTGCCGCTTCCCGACTTCAAGTCTGCCACAAACATGCTCCGCGTCAAGGAACTCCGCCTTGGCACCGAGGGCAAAGAGGCCTCGGCCTCAGCCCTTGCCGCCTCCACCACCTCCTCCTGCACGTCGCCGTCCTACCGGTCCACCTCTTCTGCGTCCACCAATCGTGGGGGCGGTGGCAAAGGCAAGGGGGGCAAGGACAAGGGTGGGCGCCAGGCAATGGTGTGGAAGAGCGGCGGCGGGCGCAACCAGAAGAGAAAGCGGTGGCTTCTGGCAAGGGCGTCGGGTTCTCACCTTGGGCTGGCCCTTGGGTTTGCTACAACCCTTGGGCCGCTCAGTGGCCACCTCAGAAGAAGCGGCAGCGGCGGTGGGGGCGCCACTGCGCCCTCCACACACCACACCGCGCCAGCCGCCCTAGTTCTCCACTGCCGGTGGTCCCCCGACGTACGGGCCTCCGAGCAGCTGGGATTCAACCAGCTTGATTGCCGTCCTCAACCAGATGGCGGTTCAGGGTGGGTCTGCACCCTGGGTCATGGACAGTGGAGCGACATCCCACGTCCTCCAACGATGGTATTTTACTCTCTCATCTACCGTCGCCACCGTCCTCCATTACGGTCGGCAACGGCCAATCTATTCCCGTTCTTAGTCGTGGCACTTCTATTATACAAATAGCTGATCGTCCTTTTCATCTTGATAATGTTCTTGTCGCTCCAAAACTCACTCGTAATCTTTTATCTGTTCGACAGCTTACTCGCGACAATAACTGTTCTATTGAGTTTGACGCTTCTGGTTTTTCTGTTAAGGATCTCCATACCAAGACGGTCCTCCTTCGATGTAATAGCAATGGGGATCTCTACACCATTTCACATCACATGCCACCTCGATGCCATGTCGCCGTCGTCTCCCCGGAGTTGTGGCACTCCCGTCTTGGTCATCCTGCACCTGCCGTCGTCAACACTATAAATAAGCTATCAACTATCCAGTGTAATAAAGCAGCTCGCCGCATTTGTCATGCCTGCCAGCTTGGCAAGCACGCTAGGCTGCCCTTCGCTCGTTCGGTTTCTAGTACATCAGCCCCCTTTGAACTCGTTCATTGTGATGTCTGGACCTCTCCAGTTTTGAGTATTTCTGGCTATAAATTCTATCTTGTACTAGTTGATGATTATACACATTATTGTTGGATGTTTCCTCTTCGTCATAAATTAGAAGTTCATGAACACATTGTTCAGTTTATTGCTTACGCTCACACACAGTTCAGTCTTTCTGTGCGCTGTTTTCAGGCAGATAATGGCACCGAGTTCCTCAACAATGCCACCTCCACCTTATTGGCTGGCCGCGGCATCCTCCTCCGCACCTCGTGCCCTTACACATCCGCCCAGAATGGCAAAGCTGAGCGGATGCTTCGCACCTTGAACAATGCCGTTCGCACGCTTCTGATTCATGCCGCCATGCCTCCCTCCTATTGGGTCGAAGCTCTCTCCACCACCGTGTTTCTGATCAATCGGTGGCCATCCTCGTCCATAAATAACAGTATTCCTTACTATCTTCTTCATCACAAGATGCCAGACTACTCCATCCTTCGGGTTTTTGGCTGCCTGTGCTACCCGAACCTTAGTGCCATGACTCGCCACAAATTATCTCCTCGCTCCTCGGCATGTGTTTTCCTCGGTTACCCTCCTTCTCAGAAGGGCTACCGGTGTCTTGACCTCTCCAATCTCAAGATCATCATCTTGCGACACGTCGTTTTCGATGAGACTCACTTTCCGTTTGCGGCCTCCAAGCCACAACCGGATTCTTTTGATTTTTTGTTACAGGATATACTCCCTGTGCCTGCCCCGTCTCCCTCAGACGTTCGGTTCTCGCGGGCCTCGGTTGCGCCTGCTTCGTCTACCCCGGACGATGCCGGTGACCCCGTCGGGCTGGACCCTACCATCCTGTGGCATGGTACCGCCTACCGGCTACCCCAGGCGCCCCGGCAGGCCACGCCTGCCCCCTTGGCTTCAGCATCTCCTACGCCAGCAGGTGCCCCCACCGTTGCACCCGTTGCAGCTGACTGACAACGGTATGGCCTCCACTACACTCGTCGTCCACGTCCGGCACCGGCTCCTCAGCCACAGCCGGAGGTACCTGCGGCTCCAGAGCCACAGGTAGAGGTGCCCCCGGCCCCAGCACCGCAGGCGACGGCACCCCAGGCTCCAGAGCCCCCTGCGCGGGAGACTCGTTCCCGGACGGGTTCACTGCCGCCGCCCATGCAGCGGTATGGCTTCACCGCGGCGGCCTCCAGTCTGGCTTCTCCGCTGCCAGGCAACTCTCGAGCCGCACTCGCCGATGCAAATTGGCGCGTGGCAATGACCAAAGAATACAAGGCGCTCGTGGACAATGGCACCTGGCGTCTCATTCCTCGACCGCCTCGTGCCAACATCATCACCGGCAAGTGGGTCTTCAAGCACAAGTATCGTGCTGACGGCTCCCTGGCTCGTCATAAAGCCAGATGGGTCGTTCGTGGTTTTTCGCAGCGGTACGGCATCGACTACGATGAGACGTTCAACCCGGTTGTCAAACCGGCCACCATCCGGGTCGTCCTCAGCATCGCCGCTTCTCGCTCCTGGCCAATACATCAACTGGACGTGAAGAACGTCTTTCTTCACGGCCATCTGAACGAGACGGTCTATTGCCAGCAGCCGCCCGGCTTCGTCGACCCGGCCGCTCCTGACCACGTCTGTCTCCTGCAAAAGTCCTTGTACGGACTCAAGCAGCGATGAGGCATGGCAAGCGGTTCTCCGGCTTCGCCCAAAGCAATCCGGCTTCTTCGCTTCAACTTCGACACCTCCTCTTTGTTTACAAAGAGGGTGTCGACATCGCCTAGCTCACGTCGGCGACATCATCCCCGAGCCTCGTCGACCTCACTTCTTCATCGCATCACCGAGCTCCTTCACTCCCGAGTTCGCCATGACAGATCTCGGGGACCTTGACCACTTCCTCGGGATCTACATCA